CCTGCTTTCATTTTTTACCTTAAACCCTACCAGTCCATTTTCAGTACAGTAGCCAGAATCTTTTTAAGGTCATCCTCCTGCTTAAAACCTTCCAGTGACTTCTTATCTAACTTAGACTGAAAATCCAAACTCCTTACTGTGATCTTCAAGTCACATAATTTGGCTTCTGCCTACCTCTCCAACTTTATCATGTATCACTCTCCCCATTTTCCTTGGTTCCAACTATACAGGCCGTCTGTTAGTCTTTCATATTGAGCTTGTTTTCTCTTTACGTTTCCTCTTCTTGCTGGTTTCTTTTCCTGGAACATTCTTTAGTCAGTTCTTTACACAGACATCACCTGCCTTAGGAGGCTTTCTCTGATCCCCCAAAATCACATAGCCTTTATTCTATGCAGCTGTTCTCTCACACAGTTTACTGTTTAGTTTCTTCATGTACTTAACTAAGGTGTCTTACTTATTGTATCTGTCTGCTCCCCTAGCATATAAGGACCTTGTTCACTGTTGTGTTCCTAGGGACTATAATAGTTTCTGAGATGCTTAGTGAATATTTGTTAAATAATTGCATGATGGGTAATAATAGGAAAGATAAATAATATAATATTGGGTTAAAAATAGAGAAATTGGCCAATGGAGTTGTATAGCAGTTCCACTCTCTTACACAAATCTAGCATGTTAACAAATCAAAAGTTGTTAATGTGAAAAGGATCCTCATAGGCAGTAGTATAGTAAAAATAGCAGGAGTTTAATTAGAAGTCTTGGGTTCTAATTTTCACCCAGGCACTTAACTTTGAGGAATTTACCTAATCTAACCTTTAATTTTCTTCATCTGTAAAATTGAGATAGTTGATAAAGTAATATCTTCTGGGAATCCCTGGGTGGTACACATGGTTAATGCCCTCAGCTGCTAACCAAAAGGTTGGAAGTTCAAGTCCACCCCAAGATGCCTCGGAAGAAAGTCCTGGTGATCTACTTCCAAAAAATCAGCCATTAAAAACCCTATGGAGCACAATTCTACTCTGACACACGTGGAGTTGCCATGAGTCGGAATTGACTTGATGGCAATTGGTTAATATCTCTTAGGTGTTTTATGTATTTGGGTGGATAAAATCAATCCATCCTTCCTCCCTCCCTCTCTCCCTCTCTTCACTCTTTCCCTCCCTGCCTCCTTCTCTTCTTTCTTTCTTTCCTTTTCTTATGAGACACTTTAATGGTAAGAATTCTATACCAGGCTCAATTTCAAAAGTGGTTTACATCATAACACCACTTTAGAGAACATGTAAAATAGCTGGCATGGAACAAGGCACAGAGAAACTGAACAGTAAATGTTAGTTCTTTTCACTTCTAGTTGGAATCTTTTGGAATTGTTAGATGCTAGCTGGCTGGCTAATTCCATAATTAACCCCAAATCTTCCTTTGGATTCCCAGAACCATATATTCTTTTTTTTAAAATTTTTTTTATTTTACTTTAGATGAAGGTTTATAGAACAAATAGTTTCTCATTAAACAGTCAGTACACATACTGTTTTATGACATTGGTTAACAACCCCACAGCATGTCAACACACTCCCTTCTTGACCTTGGAGGACCTTTTTTTTTTTTGGTGAAAATATACGTAGCTAAAGTTACACCATCTTAGAAGTTTCTATGTGTACAATTCAGTGACATCGATTACATTCTTCCAGTTGTGCTGCTATTCTCACTATCCTTTTCCAAATTATTCCATCACCATTATCTTCAACTCAATGCCCCCAGGCTTCCCATCAAACTTTTTGAGTTGCTATTGTCAATTTGATCTCACATATACAATGTTTTTTTTTTTTTGTACCTTAGGTGAAGGTTTACAGAACAAATAGTTTCTCATTAAACGGTACACATATTGCCCTATGACAATGGTTAACAACCCCACGATATGTCAACGCTGTCCCTTCTCAACCTTGAGTTCCCTATCTCCAGCTTTCTTGCCCCTCCTGCCTCCTAGTCCTTGTCCCTGGACTGCTGTGCCTCATTAGTCCCATTTTGTTTTATGGGGCTGTCCAATCTTCGGCTGAAAGGTGTACCTCGGGAGTGACTTCACCACTGAGCTAAAAGGGTGTCTGGGGGCCATACTCTCAGGGTTTCTCCAGTCTGTCAGGCCAGTAAATCTGGTCTTTTTTTTTGTGAGTTAAAATTTTGTTCTATATCCTTCTCCAGCACTGTCCAGGACCCTCTGTTGTGATCCCCGGTCAGAGCAGTCAGTGGTGGTAGCTGGGCACTATATAGCTGTACTGGACTCTTAGTCTGGTGGAGACCGTGGTAGCTGTGATCCATTAGTCCTTTGGACTAATCTTTTCCTTGTATCTTGTTCTCTTCCTTCTCCCTTGCTCCCGAAGGGGTGAGATCAGTGGAGTATCTTAGATGGCTGCTCACAGGCTTTTAAGACCCCAGATGCTACTCACCAAGGTAGAATGTAGAACATTATCTTTATAAACTTTGTTATGCCAGTTGAGCTAGATGTTCCTCGAGACCATGGTCCCCACAGCCCTCTACCCAGCAATTCAGTCCCTCAGGGAGTTTGGATGTGTCTAGAGCTTCCTTGACCTTTCCTTGTACAAGTTGTGCTGGCTTCCCCAGTATTGTCTTACCCTTCACCAAAGTTACCACTTATCTATTGTCTATTTCGTTTCCCCCCTCCACCCCTCCCATCCCTTGTAACCAACAAAGGTTGTTTCTTTTTGTGTGTAAACTTTTACATGAGTTTTTACAGTCGAAGTCTTATACAATATTTGTCCTTTTGTGATTGATTTATTTCTCACTCAGCATAATGTCCTCCAGTTTCATTCATGTTATGAGATGCTTCACAGATTCAGAACCATATATTCTTGCTGTTAGGAGTGCATGCCTGCTTTCTATTAGACTGTAAACTCTTGAAGAGTGTTTTTCCTATGACATTTAACCATAATGATTTATTTATAACTATTCTATAAATATTTGTTTAAAATTCAGAATGTATTTATTAAGTGCCTATTATGTGCAGTGCACGAAGTTTAACATTGAAAAGTAAAAGGAAATGGAAAGGTATATTCTAGCTGTACAATAGAAAAATTTTGCGTACTTTTGTTCAGTGAAGATATATTCAGTAAGATAGGTTTGAATTTATAAAAATAAAAACATGTTGGCACCCTAAAATGTGACAAATATGAAAAGGAAAGCAGAAAAAAATATTTTACCAGGATATCTAATAAAAGCTTACTACGCAAAATAGATGAAGCTTTGATAGAAATATATATGGCTTGTAACAGGATTCCTCTTGATAGATAGTTGAAGGAGAGAAACAGTTTACATATGAAGAAATATTGATAGAAACCCTTCATGAAGAAAGTATATGGTTTTTCTAGCAATTAAAGAAACATAGCTCAGACATCTCCAAAGTAGATTTATACAGTAAAAGATTTATCCAAGAAACATCTCATGTGGTGCAAAAAAGCATTAGTGCCTAAAGCATGTTGTGCAAAAAGCATTAACAACAAAAATAACAAAAGCAGTTTCTAATCCCAGCTTTTTGACCTCTAAGACAGCTTTCTGTCCTCTGGCAGTCACTTAACCTCTGTGGGGTTCATTTTCCTCATCTGTAAATCTTAGCTGACGATTTCTAAGGAGTCTGAGCTTGAAATTCTGTGATTGTCTAGATAAAAATTGGAAATCTTGTGTTACCTGACTCTGAATAACTCAGGTATGTCTGTATTGCTGATAGGAATATAAATTGGTAAAGCCTTTTCAGGTAGTAAGCAGTCTGTTTCTGTGTAATAAAAATTATACATCTGTTCTTTGCTTAGATCATTTGATTTTAGAGAATATACTTCAAGTAAACCCAAATAGAGATTAAAAATTAAGATCTATTTTAAACAAAGATTTTCACAGCAGGGTAATTTATAAAAGCCGGATAAACAAAACAAGGCTATGGAAACAATTCAGATACCCAATAATAGGGAAATGCAAAGTAAATTGCATGAGGGCAGGGACCATGACTACTCACTAAAGTGTACCTAGCTGGGCTGGATGTCCTCAAAACAGGTGGGGCTTAGGGCAATGGGAGAGCTGGCAGGTCTTCCTGACAGCTGCTCTCCATCATTCTTTAAGACTGATCTTAAAGTAGCAGTCTTCCTACCCTGCCTCAATTTTCCTACTTCCCAGAGATAACCATTTCCAACTCTTTTACATGATTCTTTTGGTATTTCTTACCCTGTCTACATCATGTGCTTATATTGCCGCTTTCCAGCTTTTCAGTCTTTGGCATTATCTATTTATTTTCCATTGTAGAGGATGAGAACTAAGCTCTTATGACTATCACACCCTTTGCATGCACACTCACATGTCCGGCTCTCTCCCTTCCCAATATAGTTAAATTGTGATTTTAGTTAGATCAAGATTCATTGTTTTCAAAACGGTAAACACTAGTCACGGCTGAGCCATGTAGTATACTGTGATTACTTTTTCTTTCCATGCAGCATTTTCTTTTTCCTGGAGTTAAAAATTATCATGGTTTTGATTTGCTTACTCTTCTAGGTTATTAACATCAGTTCCATCTCAGACCATCCCAGTTATTATGTGTATCTTCTTTCAGTGAGTTCAGATATCTATATTCTGTTGTTTTCTTTTTCTTAAAAAAAAATCTCAGTTATCTTTTCTAATCTGGATGGTTGTTCCCAGGTTCTGCTTGAGTTTGAAACCATAGCAGTATCTCTAAGAAGGCTTGTTTATCCCCAGCAGGGTATTGGGGCAGTCACTGCAGATGTACTTGTTTTTTTTTTTTTTTTTTTTATATGTGAGCAAATCATGAAAACGCAGTTATTTACCATGAATTTGTCTATGGTTCTCTTTTATGTGTTGTAATTAAGTTACCATATATTTCAAAAACACAGATTGTTTTCTTATATTTGATTGTTTTACATAGACCATATTAGGAATTACTGAAACGGTCTTAACACATTTGTATTTTTTTTAATTGTATTCTTTCTTTATAGGCTCTTAAAATTAGAGAGATCTGTAATTGCCCACCACTTTCTGGACCAGACCCTCGATTACGATTCAAACTCAGCATGAAGCATTTTCTTGAAGAATCAGAGAAAGAAGACTTAAATAGCACTGTTAAGAAACAGAAAATGAATACTCTTCCCATTCAAAAGCAGGAGCAAATACCATTAACGTATATAGTTGAGAAAAGAACTGGCAGTTGAATTAAAGTTTATGAGACACAGGGTATATGAAGAATGCAGCAGTCCTTGTCATCTTGTGTTACTTTTTAAAAAACGATGTTTGAAATGAAAAAAAAAAGATATTCAGGGTCAAATCATGTGTATTATAGGTATTAATTATTTTACTATGTATTTTTATGAAATATTGATGTATATTTTAATCTGTTTTAAAATATCTTCAATGAGGAAAATATCACAGAATAAATTTATATTATACATTTTACTCTGTCTCATACTTGCTTTTGATTCAGAAGGCAGACCTTTAATGGATGAGAAATGAGAATGTACAGTAATTGTTATTGTAGAGAGGGCCCCCGGTGAGCCTAAACTGAGTTTCAGAGTCTGGGTGGTTATGATGAACTGGGAAACTGACAGCCTGAAAGTATCTGTTTGCAGGAATTGGTTTGCATTGGGTGGGGTTATGTGGAAAAGGGGACCCTTGGGATAGAGAATTCCCTAGTCCTCACCCATGGATGATGTCGGAAAAAGGCTACAGGTAGAAATTGAAGAAGCTATTTTCATAGGGAAGCACAAGTAGTGCTGTTTGTGGCCCAAGTGACAAAGTGAGAAACACAATAGGGGGACAGGCGTTTCCATGTAAACACAGTATGGTTCTGGTATAGTGAACTCTTAATAGAAAGTCAGGTCATCTTGGCTTCTTGAAGATTTTTTGCAATTTGGAAATCTCAGGGATTCTCATGGAAGAAACAACCCTGTTCTTGTTGAGAGTACCACCAGAGAAGCAGGGGTGAGGTGCTGCCCCCAAGTTGATCTCCCTGAGCAGCAGACATCAGCAGAGGAGCAGGAAGAAGAGGAGAAAAGAAGCACAGGACACATTCCCACATATGTCCAGAAATTACGACTATGTTATATAAATGAGGTATTATACTATTAGTACTCCAAAACTGGTGGGGCCTAGTGATGTTTAAGTTACATTCCTAAGAGGGACATTTTTCTTGAAACCATTACATTAAATAAATACTTTCTTAGAGAATTATACAGGAAGGGAACTACCTTTTATTGAGTTCCTATTGTGAGCTGGACCCTATATTGATCTCATTTATTCCACAGCCTTAGGAGGTAGGTTTTATTATTCTCATTTTGCAATGAGAAACAGGTTAAGTAATATACCCAAGGTCTCTCTCCTAGAAAGAGCAACACCAGGTCTATTCAACTATGAAGCTGTCCAGTTTTCACTACTGCCAGGTATCTAAGCTATCAAAAGACAAGGAACAGACTTAACTGTTTGTTAGCTTCTTCATGTATGGCTTCAATACAAGTAGAAATCTCACAGAATCAGAGACTACTTGTGTTGTCTGCAGAATGATCAGCTCCTGATTAAGGCATGTTTGGTGTAAGAAATCACTTAATATGGCCCTTCTAGCCATGGTCTTTGTGACTCACACACAGTGATTGAGTGGGACTATGCAAATAAGGTATATGGAACCTGTGATTGTTGGGGTTATGTGTCAACTTGGCTAGTCTGTGATTCCCAGTATTGTGTGGTAATCCTCCATTTTATGTGTTCTGGATCCTGACCTCTACATGTTGATGAGTCAGAATTGGTGTAGCGTGTGTCTTGGGTCACAGCCTTGCAGGAGGGCATGACTCAAGTCTCATCCTTACTCAAGTTATGCCCTTCCTGGGGTGTGACTTTCATCTAAGGTATACGTGTGGATGACCCAGCGGGGCTTTCTCTCTGCATCTGGATCCCACGTCCACTTTGTGATCAGTTGACCTCCGTTTCTTGGGACTTGAACCGGAGGCTTGCTGTCTGAGCTGCCAATTCTGGTATTCACTGGCTTCCACAGCCCCATAGGCTGGTGGCCTATCATCTGACCTGATTCGTCAGCTTCTGCAGCCTTGTGAGCCAGCAGCCTATGGTCTGAACTGCCAGTTTGGGTTCATCAACCCCTGCAGCCACCTGAGTGCTGAGAAGCCTACCCCTGACCCATGGATTTGGGACTTGGCAGCCTCCACAACTGCTTGAGCCATTTCCTTTCTACAGTTTGTGAGTTCTGTGAGACGTTGCAGCGAATTATGGAACCCAAAGATGGTAAGGAGAGTACTGAGGGGAGGAATAGTTGATGTTTTAGATGATAGAGTGGTAGAGCAGTTTGGAAAAGTTGGACATTTGGGACATCTTTAACCTCTAGATCATAGGAAATCAGCTTTGTGCTGGTGCTTATGAAAGAAATTCATTTAACATGTGAGGGCCCTAAACACTGGTAATCTGTGGTGCCCCCTCCTCTGCTTACACATTTAAATGGGGTATGTGAGTTAGATATATACACGTATATATGTGTATGTGTGTGTATGGGTGTGTGTTAGCTATCCATGGTGTAACTTTTTTATATGTGACTATAACATTAGCAATTGTACTCAAAAGTGGCGTATGCCATTTTAGCGGAATGAGATGAGCTGGATTATGAATTTTTTAGTGGATGTAGGTGACTGAGATTTTTATTATACACCACATTTTCTATAAAAAGAATATTCACATATTCTACAACAAAGAAAATGAGTCAGTGAACTTAGTTGTTTCAACAATCACTGTAAAATTCTGATGATCTTCCAAAACGAAAAATTGACTTTCACCAATTTTGCTTTCAACAGCTCATACTTCATTTTTGATGCTTGTTTTGTAATAAATGCTGTAATTATAAATGAACAAATGAAAAGATGTCACAGAAGAAAATTTAATGATCAGAAAACAAATATTATGACAAATTATTTTTATTTTATTTTTATTGTACTTTAGATAAAGGTATTCAGAACAGACTAGTTTCTCATTAAACAATTAATACACATAATGTTTTGTGACATTGGTTGCCAACCCAACAACATGTCAACACTCTCCGCTTCTTGACCTTGGGTTCCCCAATACCAGTTTTCCTGCCTTCTAGTCCTTGCTCCTGGGCTGATGTGCCCCTTGAGTCTCATTTTGTTTTATGGGCCTGTCTAATCTTTGACTGAAGGGTGAATCTCAAGAGTGACTTCATTACTGAGCTAAAAGTGTATCCAGGAGCCATACTCTCAGGGTTTCTCCTGTCTCAGGCCAGTAAGTCCAGTCTTTTTTTGGGAGTTACAATTTTGTTCTACATTTTTCTCCAGCTCTGTCTGTGACCCTCGATTGTGATCCCTG